CAACAAAAAAACCAAACGAAGGAGCGTGATTTGCATAAAAGTTTTGGATAGAGCCCGAAGTGCTGCTAATGAACAATTAGCCAGCTGCAGGCCTGTCGGGGAGAGGAAGAGTAGGGTGAGGTAAATTTGAGCCTAAACCTGATGAAAACGGGCGCAGGGGGTGAAGGATTTGTCAAGAGCGCGTTCCCCGCCCACTGCGCAGGAGGGAGCCGGAGAATTCCAGGGCCGGGGGAAGGAGCAGTGGGAGATGTTGTTGTTTTTGACTGGGGAGCCGGTGCTTTGCCAAACCCACCTCCCGTCCTGTTCTCACACGGTRCGATGCCGGGATGGGGCTCACACCCCTTTGCGCCTGGAGCGCCGCCAGCTCGTCCCGCTTGGCAGCTGCACACTCTGGTTGAGTTTGGAAATGGCTCGTGCCTCCTCAACGCTCCACTCCTATCGGGATCACAGCTGAGCCGGGATCCCGAGCTCAACTCTCTTGAGACCTGCAAAACTTTTGTGTTTTTTGGGACCGCTCGGCCTTGGACGAGGCAGACACAGATCCTTTTTTAATTTTTTTTTGTTTGTTTAATATTTTTACTTTTTAATTTTTTTTTTCTCAAATGGATTATTTTTAATGCAAAATCCACGTGCCTGGAACGCCTGGATGGCTCAGGAGTAACGGGGTGTCCTCCTGAGCCTTTTTTCCCGACGCTCATTCACTTRTCGGGTGTCGATAGCGATCAAGAAGATCTTTCCACCTGATTTTTTTTTTGTTTTGTTTTCCCCCTGCCAGGCTAAGAGGGATGATCATGCCAACCTGAAAGGTAGGAAAGAGCTGGAATTCATAGCATGTCTACCTCTTGTTGCAAGGAGCTGGGATTATTGCAAAACGAGTTTCGGCGGTGTCCAGGGCTGGCGCTGTAATGAACGGGGGTGTTGTAATCGCCTTCCAAAATGCGCGGGGGAACGTTGCAGCTCCCAGTTCTGGAGCTGTTGAATCTCTTGGGATCACATTTTTCCCTTTTTCCTCACTCTTGGAGATCCTGAAAAGCTCGGACTCAGTGGTTGGAAGGCACTTTCCAACCCGAATGGTTCTCTGTGCATTTCTTTGCTTTGTCCAAATGGGCAGAAAAGTTCCCTCCACCCCAAATATTCSCTTGGGATGGTGGTTTTTGAGCAGGATTTCTCATCCCTCTCTGCTGGCAGGAGACTGCAGGGCCCAAAGACCCATCAGTGGGGCAAAGACCCTCCTGATCTYGGGGGATTTGGGGTTTGGGAGGGATCTGATGGACCTGGGGATGTTCAGCCCTGCAGTGAGCAGAGGTTTCATCCCTGTTCTTTGTAGAGTCCTCCTGGTTTTTCCAGTTTTTGGGAATTAGAGGCTCTTCTTGCTGCGATGAGGAATGAACTTTCCTCAGGGTGTTCTCATGCTGAGGAAGAGTTTGGTTCAATCATTTCTTGGAGAACAGTTCTGTATGATTTACCTTACACAGCTTTCAGGAATTGACCCAAAAACTTCCAAAAGTTTCACCTCCCTCTTGTCCCAGTCAGCCTTCCCAAAAGATTTCAACTGGTCCAATTAATAGAACAGATCTTTATTATAATTTTTTAATAAATTCATTTTTTAAATGTAGCAGCAATATTAGAAATGAACACGGAGACTGTGGAATAAACCAGAAACRAGGATTCAGTGCTGGTCTCTGSGTRTATTTTTCTCTAAGAATGTGGATTTAGAAATCATTATTTTCTGGTGGACAAGAATCTTGAACATTAAAGTGGCTCAAAATGACCTCTGGGCAAAGGGCTGACACCTGTGATGTTTTTTGGTTCTTTTTCCACAGCTTGTAACTGAGGAAGGAGATTTTCCTCACAATTTCTTGTTGCATTTTGGTAGAAATGGAATAAATGCATTTGGAGCCTGGATTTTCAAGTCTGAGAGATTGCTCTGCTTATTTTTGAGRTCTTTTCCTCCATGACCTTTCCTTTCCCAATTCCTTGTAGCATTCTCTGTTCCCTGCTGGAAAAAAATAAAGAGATTTTATCCATGTCCAGCCCTGGCATYGGGGCTTGAGTTGTGACCTGGAAAGGGGAATTGCTTCGTGTCTTTATCAAAACAYCACAAAAGACTTCAAACCTTGAAAAGTTGAACTTGAAAAGCTGAAATTGGTTGTTTTGTTTTTTTAATGGAGTGAAGTGCCAGCCTGCCCTGGGCTTGGCAGAGCAGCARACTGTGTCCATGGGATCAAGTGGGAAAAAAAACCAAAAACTGTGTCCATGGGAGAGCAGGAGTGCGGAATGGCCGTGATTTTCAGCGCTGGAAACGGCTGAAAATTCCCTGAGAGGAGCTCCCTGCATGCCCTGGGATCCCAACTGCCCCCTCATCGTCTCTGCTCCCTAATTCCCCAATTTTTTTTGCGTTTTTCCAGATCAAAACCGAGGATCTCAGCGACTCCTTGCAATCTGCCATCCCCCCTCGGTCGGGTCACCTCGTGCAGGGATCATCCATGATGCCAGGGAGCCAGATCGCTGGGGTGAGTGCTTTGGCTGCTCCAGGAATCCAGGATTGCCCCTGGATTGTGAAATCAGGAAAAGAGAGGCTGCACCTGACCCCCTCCCCAAAATTTTGCCCAAATTCCTTGGGCAAAAGGAGCCTGAGGGTGTGAGAAACACGAAATTGGAAAAGTGAATCCTGTCTTGGTTTTTCCTCATGGATTCAAAGGTAGACTGGACACATCCTGGGATGAGATTTCCTCTCATYTGAGGGTTTGCTAAGCAGAGGAACCACCCCACAGCCAGGAAATCCCTTGGATTGGAAATAATTGGAGGCTGAGACATCACTGTGGGGAAGTGTTTGATAATGTTCGCCCTGCTCTTCCTCGTTTTGGTTAATGCCATTGTTGGAGATGGGATTCCAGACTAGATTAACTCCTAATCTCAGCCACTTGTTGCCTCAAATTGATTTACACSAGGGAAGAAATTAATTCCTTGAGGGAATTATTTTTTTTCCTAAGCTAAAATTATTGGAGTTTAGTGCTGAACTCTTGTTAAATTCTAGCAGGAGTTGGATGCCAGAAAACCACACTGATGTTGARCATTCCCTTCCCTCCTTCCATGGGGCATTCTGATCCATTTTACAACTCAGGGATTCAATAATTTCCCCAAATCTTCAGAGCAGTTCCGTGGGAATTGGTGTTGTTGCAATTTACTGTGTGATTTTAGGGAGTTCACTCTGGAATTACATTATCTGGTAAAAACCAAAACCAAAACTGAAATCCAAGAGGTTTCACTGTCCTAATAATCAAGGTTTGATAGCCTCCAAAATGTCATTATCAGGAGTCAACCTTTTCAGGGAAAAGCAGACAACTCTCCACGTATATATCTCTTTACGCACAGAATTCTCCTACACCCCAAACCTCTGAACCTGTAACCCATTGCAAAAATACACAAATTTAGGGTGAATTTGCTGCTCGAGGAGCACAAATCCCTGAGTTTGGCTGTTCCTTTGGCTGTTTCCCGCAGGACATGAGCTCTCTCCACACCCTGCAGCAGTTGGTGCTGCTCCCCGGGCACATGCAGTCCGTCCCCCAGTTCCTCCTGTCCCAGTCGCAGGCAGGACAACAAGGTAAGAGC